TGCACATAGGCCTGTCGTATCTCCTGGAGCTCTGGCCGGTCTCTCTGTTCTGCCTCTCACCGTTGTTGGCAGCCCAGAGGCTGAGCAACTCGATATGGCCGCCAGTTGTGACCTTGTCTCTCGCCCTCGGCATCACATTCTGGAACATGGCGCTCGATTTTGGCCTTGGCTTGCTCATGGGCCTGGCTTGGGGCATGTTCTGGTGGTTGGCCGGCCTCTTCGAGAACCTCGCGTTCAAGGGTGATTCAGGTTACTACTCCCTCCGGATCGCTGCGATGTGGGTTTCGCTGTTGTATGCGACGGCGCGCTGCTTGGGAACAATGATATCGCTATCGACCCCATTTCACGTGTCACCAGTCTTGATACAGCCCATCGCTCTTCTCGGCTTTTACAGTCTGGAGTTTGCTATTATGTGTAGCAACGCGGCTCTGGCGCAAGCTCTCACGTCTCACAATCGACGACATGTGCTGAATCTGTGGCAACTGGGGATTCTGGGGTGGGCCCTCGTCAGTGTACTACTCTACTATACGTCTATGATCCCTGGGCAGGCAACCGTCACTATAGCGGCAGTTTCCCCAGGCGGTTATTTGCCCAGTCCTTTCTGTGATGATGGTTATATGCTCCACCACGGTGAAAGAGTGCCGTGCACTGCGAGCATTGATGGGCAGCTCGCGAGGACTCGGAGGGCCGTAGAAGAATACGGTGCACAACTTGTTGTCTGGCCCGAAGGTTGGCTGGGACCCTTCAAGAACATGAGCACCGCGACAGACTTCGTTGAGAGAAAGCTTGGCCCGTTCGCCAAACAACTACAGATTTCCATGACCGTCGGCGCAAGCACAGAAGGGTGGGGTAATCTCGCCTTGACGATAGGCCCTGCAGGGTTGATAGAGAACGTCTATGGAAAGCAGCATCCGGTCCGTATCAACGGTGAGAGGAGCGAGCTCGTGTTCGGTTACCCGACTATGCCGTTGAATCCGTGGCTGGTTGATCAGCATGTCAGTGCACTTTCAGCCGACAGCTATGGTCGTCTCGGGTCGCTGATCTGCTATGATATGGACTTTCCGAGTGCAGCTCGGGAGCTTGTCTCTAGAGGCGCTACTCTTATACTGAACCCCTCCCAGGACTGGTCAGCCATACGTGATCACATCGCCACCGCCGTTTTCCGAGCCGTGGAAAACAGAGTGGCCATTGCTAACGCCGATGTCGGCTGGGATTCGGCAATCATTGATCCCCTCGGGAACAGGGTCGTTGGCTTCGAGAGAGCTGAATGCACCGAGGAGGTCATTGTCGGTACCGTGCCCCTAGGGACAGGCACAACCCTCGCGGTGTACCTTGGGGATTTG